AACATTGTCTCCAGTTAGGACGAGTGGGCTAAACTTGTTCCTTGCACCTTCCTAGATTACATATCTGCTTTCGACTCAGCACCTAGGGACATTTTGTTAAACAAGCTTGCTGAAACTCAAACTGACTGTTGGGTTATCAAATGGTTGCATTCTTATTTCTCAGGAAGAAAGCAGTACACTGTATGTCAGGGGAAGTCGTCCATTTCATTGTTTACTGAAGCTGGTGTCCCTCAAGGCTCTGTCCTTTCTCCTTTTCTGTTTTCTTTCTTTTTGCATGACTTGTTTCACTCTGATAAAATGAACTTTGTTAAATATGCCGATGATCTAACTATTTCAATGTCTCTTAACTCCCAGCTAGACTGTACTAGGGTGAACAGCTTTCTATCGGTAGCCAGCAAATGGTCTTCGTCTAATGGTCTTAAACTAAATCCTTCCAAATGTCAGACTGCTAATTTCAGTTTCCGATGTAAAAGAAAGTTAAATGAGGCTGTTGGTTCTTTTGACCGTTGCAAAATTGATGATATTGATATAGAAATCAAGTCTGACGTTATGTATCTTAAATTAATTTTTCTTCTGACCTATCCTGGTCTTCCCATGTCTTACCGATTTCTAAAAGAATATTTCGTTTGACTTTTCACTTGAAGAAGTTAAGTCACTCAAGCATAACTCAACCAACTCCTCTTCTTGCAGTTTGTCACCTCGTGCATCTCACCTGTTTTTCTCTACTGTTCATCCCTGCTTATTCTCTCCTGGATTGCTTAAAAAAGACTATGTCATAATTCGTAAAACTCTGAAGACTGTCAGTCAGTAGGGCGAGTGGTATCCCATTGAGCCATATCTAAGACACCGTCATTGACAGGCACTTGATTTCATGCAACAAATTTGCTAAAAGAATCTTGTCAGACTGTGAGCATCCACCACAGCACCCGTAGCTTTCACCCGGTGTCTCCTCATGTAAAACAAGAAGTCTTTTCAGAAGACTTTATGCACATACGTCTAAGTATAAAAATTCCACCATACCGTATTTGGTGGCACGTACTTTGTGTAATGAAAATAGTGTTCGACATGAACTAAACAACCTTCTCTGCACTATTAAATAAACCATTTCCTCCACCATTACAACATCAACCTTCATTGTTATTCTACTTCTTATATTTATAATCCTCTCAAATTTTTGTTTTTATTTATTTTTTCATAAGTGTGAACATCATTTAAGCTGTGTTATAACTGTTAATTTTGTATTTCCCCTCACCATACTGCATCAACAGAACATTAGATTCAATACTCTGTAACATGCTAAGATTTCCAAACTGAATCGACAATAGTGTTTGAAACAAACTCACTGTTATTATTATTATCATCATTATAAGCGTTATTATTCACAATTTGTACTTCGAACATTTTTTGACTTTATACCGTAAGTATGGACAAATTCCTCTGGTTATAATTTCATTTATATTTTGAGTAAATCAGATGCACTATGGTGACAAATGCTGAGAATTCCATTCTGTATTATAAGTGGTGTCTTTGGAATAAAGCAGATTATTATTATTATGAATATGAATAGGGGAGTTATATGACAGAATATGTGAAAAAATTACCCGCTGCTTCATAATCAATTATTCCATTATAAAAGCAGATTTTCAGTCTCAAGTAAGTGTAGACCTTTATTATTGAAGTTTCTACATTTTCTTTAGTCGCACAGTGAACCTCTTTGACTATGTCTCTTTTAATTTGGCGGAAATATTGATATTCAATTATCTGAAAATTGACAGACATCTTTAATAACTAATTATATTTATGATGAAATGCTGGATAACAAACACTCGTCAGTTCCGGAGTCCTGCAATTTCCCTGATACAACAGTTTAATTCAGACAGATTATCTAAAACAGATTATTGTTTAACAGATAGAGATGTGATATGTACGATATTATGGTTAGTTCTGTGAATGATATAATGGATATGTACATAGTCTCAGTTACTATTAGTATACACACTCTAAGTTTGAGTCTTTGAAGCCAATACTTGATTTCAACACCTGTATGTGAAATTGTGGTATCATCTAAGTGTGTTCAGTTTGGTTGAAAGCTAAGCAGTGCTTTTTGAAAAAAAGACAATAATGTGTACAAACAAACATTCAGGGAAATCTTTCACGCTGTTAAATATACCGAAATTACAATTAAATGTTCTCACAGTACCGATTTAACATTTGACACCTATTCTAGCTTTATTATGAGAATGTAAATGTCAGTTAAATTACGTTTGAAAGTGATACATTAAAACACCTAAAGGTATTTAAAAAATTGATGCATACTGTGAATTGTAAGCACTTAGATCACAAACGTTATGTAATAAAAAAATTTCCTAAACAGACTAATTACTTACTACAAGTTTTAAAATCTAATGATATCATTTTAGTTAAATAAGGCACTTCTATTAAGTTTATTCTTATCTTTGAGCATTATAATAAGCAACTAAAAGAATGTACAGTGGAAATTAATCCCAACTCCATACCTAACTATTTTGAACTTCCTACTGGAGATGATAAAGTGGCACAGGGAGTTATTTGACAATTGGAACCATGAATATACTAATTTTACAGTTTTCACATATATATTTTTTGGAGTATTGTTTTGTAGGGATCCGGTTAATTTCTACTTAAATCATAAACCGACACAAGTTAAAGAACCATTGAAAATCAGTTTCTGAGTCGTCGGTGGACTCACATCGTAACTTGAAGGTCCTGTATTCAGTCTCTAGTTGGGTGATGGATGTAAACTTGATATGATTATGACCAATAGATTGTGCTTGAAACGTCATCACTTAATATAACTGTACAACACTGCGTGTGATTTATCAAAATTAAATCTTATCCATAATGGAGTTATACTCTACTCCATTGCCCAAGTTTTATACTTATATCAATAAAACTGCTAAAGAGTTGCAAACTATGACGTGAAAGCTGTCTAGTATTTCAGTAATTCCCTAAATGAAGTCAGTTCGTGCCGGAAAATAAGTAAAATAACTAAATTAGATGAAAAAACTAACTAAGACGAATATCAGAATAAGACGTTGACAGTTACATCTTGAACAGAAGGAGAACTTGAATCACAATCACTCAGCTGGTCTTCTTCTAGATAATCATCTAACTAGCGTATACTCATCAGCAAATGTCCGTTGAAATCAACCAAATCAGCACAAATTTAACTTCTACACTTAGAAGATTTTTCTGAGAGGTAATAATTAACATACCAGTCTTCAATAAAAATGTCGGATTATATTCTAGTTTTCTGTCGCCATATTGTGCTTCTTTTTGAATCGTGGACTCTTTTCTGAGTCACAGGTATAATAAACATAAACAAGTACTTTTTACCCACAAATTTTAACATTTAATTATTCTAAAAAAAAGCCGAACAACCCTTTTTCTCGTCCTAGTTTGGGACTAGGTTTCTAGTCGAGGATCTTCAGGATGTGATAACAAACTCATTGAACATTCAGCCACTTGGGCCGGGATTGAATCACCTGTAATTTCTAATCATATATATATATATATATATATATATATATATATATATATATATATACCAATAATTCTTTGATCACTGTAGACATGTAACTGTATGCATCGGTGGCACAGCGATTAGGACGCTTTCCAACCACTCACATGGTCCGGGGTTCGGTCCTCGGTTGACACAGTCCTTTACCTCACTAAGCCAGAAATAAAAAGCTGGTAAAGAGAAAAGGTTGGGTATGAGGCTAGCAACCACATCCTGTAAAAATAATCACCACTGCTACAGAAACTCCAAGCGTCTAGCCTGAAGCCCTATATTCCACTGGGGGGGGGGGGGGGGAGGTGAAGGAATAAAAGATAAAGACATATAACTGTGGAACTTGATGAAAAAGCTATCGAAAAGAATATTCTTTGTTCAGTAATCGGTTTTTTGAAATTTCTAACAGGCATCTTTAATCAATTCTAACTTTATCAATACGCGATAATAATATCGTGCTACCTTCAACCAATGTCTTCGATGAGCGTACACGCTACTGGCCACAACTTTTCATTACAGTTTCAAGATATCCATGCATTAACCATTAGTGAGCAGGAGACTGATATTTGGGATATGGGTAGATGAAGAAATCTAACACTTGAAATTTATCCAACCCTCTACAAAATCCTCTTTCTGATGATCGTTTTCTTTCTTCGAAAGTATGATCAAAAAATATGCCTAAATAATGAATAATGAATACCAAGGTGATATATACATAGAGAGAGAAGTTGCAAAATTCCAATTCGTGTGAAAAATATTTTATATATGTAGTCTCCCTACCCACCCACCCCCACCAACACACACTTTGGGATCATTTTCTTTTAGGTGATTCGTAATCAAACCACTAAGATTATTTGCTTAGAACGACTAAATTTCTGTTAAAAGCACAATTCGCGTAAACCCCCGTACACATTCTATTACCTACACGAAATGTCTTCACATCTATAAACGTACACATACATGGAAGCACACATGTGTACGGTGGGTGTAATAAACACAGCATGTGCACAAAATTTTCCCAGTGTGTGTGTAGCAAAGATGCTGATCTATCTTGACATACATATCAACATTTTCCATACACATACATATATGATTGTAGTAGAAATGTGTGATACGGTACACAGTACAGACGTGGAAGGAAAAAAAATCTCCTACGCTGTGTGAATTCACAGGATATTTTATGAACACAACACACACACACATACGTGTAGAGAGGCATGTGCACACTTTTGTCCAGCATAAAATTCAGAGTATTACTGAAAATTTAAAACCGCACACACAGTTTATTTCTTTCAGACCGGATCTTAACCAGTAAATATACATATATATTATTATAAACTGAGAAAATTGCTATTTTTCCAGAAGATAACTTTAGTATATAAAACAGAAAAAGAGATTATATAATAACACTAATAATAATAGTGTTATTGTCAGAAATAAGAAGTACTACATGTCTGAGTCTTTCTATCCAATCCTTGAATCATCCTATCGACAACGACAAGTAGTGGTCGGAGAAGAAGAAGAAGAGGATGGAGACAACTGTGGTGCCATCCATTTAGAATGTCCTGTCAACACAGACGACAGAATCACAGCAGGTAAGAAGCATATGTAAATATACATGTATATATATACATATTCATATTGTTTTCTCTACTTTTCCATTTTGATGACTTCATAGTATGTGTTTACGTTATACTTTTTTCCAAAAGTATAGCAGTTGTGTTTGTTGTCATCATGTTGATGACGAGTTGTTTCTTTTTTTTTCTTGTTCATACGCATTTTTCAAGGTGTTCAATACTTCATTTTTTTTTCTCATAAACTTTATTTGGACTACCCTTTTATTTTGCTATCAAGGATTAAGTAACCACGAAAACCCCTTAAAATATAAGACATATGATAAATATATAGTTTTAATTGTTCACTGATAGTGTATATAAAAGCTGGTTTATATGAATGAATCAAAAGTATGTCATTTTCAATCCCATTCATTCATGTTTAACTTTTATTTAGCAGTAGTATAATCATTTATTTAGCTGCTGATTTCAAAAGTAAGTTAGTTATCACCTTTTTATATGGAATAATGAACACACTATAAGATGTTATTCATCACCTATTTTCAAGTATTGGTTTTGTAGGGATTTTGTTTGATTGCATGGAGGATTTCATCATGAGCTGACATCAGTTAGAGAACCACTGGAAAACCAGCTGGGAGTACTGGACAGCTGACAACTCCAAACTAGGACGAAACAGCTGTCCAGTACTCCCAGGTTTTCCAGTGGTTCTCTAACTGATGTCAGCTCATAATGAAATCTTCCATGCATCACCTATTTGTTAAATTAGTTTAATCAAACTTGGTTCTTTATTATTCCTGTCACTGTTCCATTGAGTTTCATCCGAGTGGAACATTGGGTTTCTACAGCCTATTTTTATTTCATCCTATTCTCTACAGTCACTTCTAGCTGGCTGCACGACTGTTCATAAGCTTTTATATTCTTCTCACACCGTCTGACTCTTTAAGTAGTGCTCAGCTCATGGTTCCCTGTTTGAGTTCCATTTGAGGGTTTGCCTAGTGAGTGGGTGATATCACTCAACGGTCTCCTGAGCATAACAGTCAAGTCCATCTCGATTTTCTTAAGTATACATTTATTGGGCAATAGCTTCTTGGTTGATTCGTTGCCAGATATCCTTGTTACTTATTGTTTCTGAACTTCAGCATAGTACGAAGGCAGTTAATAATGGAAGTCTGTAAGCAGTCTCTGAAACACATTAGTTTTGAAATACAAATTTCGCTGTTTATGCTGAATGCAACAGACTTTCATCGAGCTTGTTACTAGAAATCCAGTTTAATTTATATCATTTATATACTCATAGTTTTTGATTAAGTATAGAAGTCTGGTTTTGCAGTAACATAATGATATGTGTTCATCAATGGCTTTGAACTTTATGTATTTGTGGTAAGCTTAGTTTCTTCTTTTGTCAAAGATGATTTCCTCTCTGGTAATGTTAACTAATTTATATTTTCTGGAAGAAATACACTATCAAGACTGGTTTTACATCCTCACAATTTTCTTTAGAAACGTTAAGTTCAAATTAGACCAATATTTAAAGATCATAGGGCCTTATATTGTCAGTAGTACAGGTATATGGTTTAGAAACTGAGTGTAAACTAATCAGGATTCTTTGTTTGGACACTAGTAACTAATATGATGTGTCCACTCCTTTCTTTGGTACAGACTGAATTCTATCAGTTAGGTTTGCAATGTGGGCACCACTCTAGATGGCTAGCCATCACGGTGCACATTGATTTGATGATATTAGATAGTTGGAGGTAATCGGCCATAGGAAGACTTGGACCAAGGTTTCGTGTTAGCTGGCACGCATGTCCCTTAGAAGATATCAACCTCTTGTCACCCAGTGCTGGGCTAACAACCTAGAATGGTAGTCACACTGCTAACCTAACTGATAGAATTCAGTCTGCACCAAAGATAGGACTAGACATATCACGCTAGTTACTGGTGTCCAATCAACGTATCCAGTACAGTCCTACATGAGGTCAATCGTGAACCCGAATAGATCATCTGTGGTAACGTCTCTCACTGCAGCACTCACTGGGTGACGCAGGTTTGAATCTCAGATGAGACATGAGTTCCTTTGAGGTTGACTGGTGAGTGCCAACTAGCACAAAGTCTAAGTCGAAGGCTTCCTGTAGCCGACTGCCTCCGGCCACCTAATACTAATTAGGATTGGATTGTTTAATTCTTGTAGTTACATTGTAACAGTTCTTTTTATTTGTAGCACTAATGGCTAAAGTTTGACCGACGGTCTTCAGAATTTATTCCTGTACATGATCTATGCTTTCATTATCATGAGAATCTTTAAATCCTCTACATATATGTATATACTTGAATGGAGAGTGAATTGTGAGCTGCACTAATCTTCCGTCGCTCGTATTCGTCAAGCCAGTAGCTGATCCACATACAGCTACTAGTTTTGCAGCAAAGCACTTATCTCAATCTCTTTTATGTATTGCTTTTGACCGGTTGACGATATAACTTGTTGAATACCTACCTTCAAAACAACAAATATTTTTTGAGAATTCTAAACCATCTTTGTCTATAAGTGCTAATATGGGCATAATTCAGATACAGTGCTTACTATACATCTAATATTTGTATTATTTAACCTAGTGAACAGATCATTTTTTCCTGATGTTTTGAACAATATTCGATATTCGAAAAATACATTCGTTAATGCTGTCGATTATCATGGATCAAAAGGGATTTGCATAATAATATATAAGTTGACTAGATTTTTAAAAAACAATCATAGCTTTATTCTGAACATCATGCTTGCATACAGTACGGCTTTTTGGGCTTAGTTTTATCTACCTGTTATGCGCAATCTTGAAGTAAAACACTAATAGGAAGTATATCATTCACCGGAGTTTCCTCCAATCTGAAACATGCTCCAACCCCTGACGTACATCTCCCTTCAAAACAGACCAAGCGGTATGCTGAAAGCCATTCGAAAATGTAAATGATTATAGACTGTTCTTCAAGTACGTAAACTGAAGAGTGGTTAAAACAAAGTATAACTGTGTAAATTTGACTTATTATACTCTGTGGGAAAACAGGTAGCCTAGTGTCGTCTCTTTTGATGTAAATGTAATGTCTCATATCAAGCACTTATCACTACATTAAAATGTTTTACTGTTTTTAAATTTTTCTAGGTGAGAGTTTTCCTGATAATATTTTACTGCCAAGTTTGCTGACTACTTCAACAAATGGAAAATTACGACCATATGCTATTTGTGCTCCAACACAGATTAATTCAATTACACAGAAGTTTTATACAGATCCACCAAAATTACCTTCATATTTTTCATTCACTTCGACAGCTTCAGCGACATCATTATCAACGGCAACAGCAGCAACAACGACAACAACACCAGGATCCATTACAGCACCGACACAAAACCCTATCTCTGATCATACTAACATTAATCGTAATAATAATAATAATGATAACCTCAACCAAAACACCAATTATTCCCATTGTATTCCAACAAATCCTATCTTACGATCTACAAATTATGATGCATCAAGATATATTAATGACAAAAACAATAATAAGCTATTAAAATCAAATGATGATTCAACAGATTTCTTAGTGAATAATCCATTCAATTTAAATAGTTCAATGTCCAATAACAGTAATAATACTATTAATAATAATCATCATATTTCTGCAATTCATCGTACAACTAATTGTAATTCAAGAGATAAAGTGAAAAAACGGCGGAATCGAACTACTTTTACAAGTCATCAATTGAATGAAATGGAAAGAATATTTCAGGTGAATTAGCCTTTTAATATCTGGTATTTTTTAAAAGCAGTTGGCTTTGAATTAACAAAATGATTTGTAAGTAGTTTGTGAATATTACATATTATTATTACCTTGAGTTCACAGTGGAACATAGAACTTCAACAGGATATCTGCATTATGTCCTCTTCAGTTGGCCCTAAGATTACCCTTGGGCTTTTAACTCCTCCTCACGTCATCTCCTCTGACTGACGTCCAACTTGTCGTTTCTCATTCGGGTTCCGTTTGAGGTCCTCGCATGTGATGTCACCCAGTTGTCATTCCGGCGTATATCCGTTTCATGTCCATTTCCTTCGATATATTACATTGTGGATATAGCTATTTGAAATTAATTTTCAAGTAGGTTGGCGGATATATTACTAGTGCGTCGGGGGCATGGCGGTTATGACGCTCGCCGACCATGCACATGGTCCGGGGTTCGATCCCCTGTCGACTCACACCTGATATCTACGGTCGGCCTGCTAAATTTGGGCTACCGATATCACATGCTGGAAATTCCATACCTGTACTAAAAATACGGTGTGGAATCAAGCTGTAATCAAAAAAAGTATTTCAAAGAATTTTACTGATATTCACATGAGTTTTAGAATTATCCTTTTACATCACTAAGGCTACATATTTCATGTAACAAAATTCTAGTTTAAATATACACTACTTAATTAATTATCGGAACCTTGTTTTAAAAGGGAGTGAGATTACGCATAGACTTAAGGGGTTTCTATTTGATGGTCACAAGTTCACTGAAATAATCCAGCTCCTCTTTAAGGGCTGACTATTGTTTTGGATAACTTACTGACAAATTCATGAATTTTCAAATTCAGCATTACAGGTTTTTTTTATTCCTTCACGTTCCCAGAGGAATATAGGGCTTCAAGCTAGTGGCCTGAAGCTTCTGTAGTAGTGTTTATTTTTACAGGATGGGGTTACTAGCCTCATTCCCAACCTTTTCTCTTTAGCAGCTTTTCATTTCTGGCTTAGTGAAGTAAAGGACTGTGTCGACCGGGGATCGAACCCTGGACCATGTGCGCGGTCGACGAGCGTTCAACGCACAAGCATAGTGGGTAACCTATCTAAACTACAAAATAAGTTTACCTGAGTTTGGCGATACATTTGACTGATTTATTCTAGCAACTGTAAAATTTTGGCTCATTTTTCTTGTTCATCAACAAATGAAGCTAAAGAGAGTTGAATTTTTCAAAGCTAAAACATCCTATTCATCCTTTTAAATACCGAACAATCCTAAAGCTGTAGCATAGTTTAAACGCATTAGTGTTAAGAATTAGTTCTCCATTAATGTAAAACACTGTTGAAATTATTAGAGGTTTTAGATATTTCAAGAACTTACACCACTTTGAAAACCTTTGAAAACAAACCAGGGAGTACTGGACAGCTGTTTCATCCTAGTTTGGGGCACTACAGAAATACGCACTTATTATCTCACCAAGAATCGAATCCAGGAGCTTCAGATTACAAGGCAAGCCGAAATACCGTTTGGCTGCCTGGGTGAAATCAAATGGTCGATTAATTCATAGGACGGATGAATGCTGTCTGGCAAAACCTAGGGAAATATATTATATAATTGGGTGTTTTGTAGACTCATTGCACAATGGGAGCATACATACTTAAGGATCCATAAGGAAATGTGATGAATGAAAATTCAAATAGGCTTTCTACGCAAAATGACGAAAGGAGTGTAAACCTGAGATTTGATATAGTTATATAACCAGCCTTCAAAGTGATATGTATCTTTGGATATATACATGTTCACTTCTGTTAACTACAAAAGAAATATTTAGTGTTTAAAAACTGTTTTAAACAATATGAAGGATAACTGGTATAACTTAAACTTCAGGTGTCTGTTTTAATATTATGTATGGTACACCAAATGATATCCAGTGAACCTTAAATCATCATGATCTTTTGTGTTCACACGTATTTTTATTACTTGTCACCTCCAAATACATATATATGGCATCTTGTTAATATACACAGTTAAATGTGGCATTATTCATCACTTCACAATAGTGGATGTGAGCGGACCATACATTCACAGTGTTCAGCCTTCTGTGTTGATGGGTTCTCATCACAAAATGCCTCAGATATGAATCATGTAGATAAATACGATATTTTTCCACGTGTATACAACTAGCCACCTGCGTTTCACTGAAAGAAAAAGACAACAGTGAAATTATACAATGGTTTTTCCCTTCAGAAAGCTAAAAGGGAAAATTTCCCATCGAAATAAATAATTTCTTTCATTTGATTGATTTTTCTTTTAGTCTGTGTGATACGATTTGTGCCCTTTTATTCTTCTTATTGCTTATTCAACTGTGTCTAAAGAGAAATGAACTGGAAAACATTCCTGTTTGAATTAATAAGGCATTAGATCAATCTAGCTGGTGAGAATTATCTGATTGAATTATAAATCGGGGAAGTAGTTGCAATCAAACCCTTTCTATTTCATTATGGGTAAATTTTGTTTTGATAAAGTCTCACAGTGTTATACAGTAATGTTTACTGATGACGTTTCGAGTACAATTTATTGCTCATAATCATATCAAGGTAATCACACGACTTCCTAAATTCATTTATATAGTTCCATTGTTTTTCTCTTGATTTTCACTTGATTTGATTGGTAATAGTATTTTCCATATTTCAGGTATGAGTGACGAGTCATTCCTATTGCATGTGTTGGGTGTAGACTCGATGAACAAGGATTCAGTAATCAACCTCTCTCTCCACCTACCTAGATTACTTTTTAGAATTTTAACCCTCTGCCACCCTATTGTGTGGTTGTGTGTTAGCGCATGCATTGCAATTGCTGAGCTTTTTTCTAAATTATTTATCTTTTCGGGGTCAACCATTCTTACCTTAGCTAAATTTTTATGCTCTGACAATCTGACTACCCCTGACCTACTAGTTTGACCTATGTAGTTGACCTCACAGTCATTGCATGGTATTTTGTAAATAATATTATTTTGTCTAATTGGGTCAACTGGGTCCTTTAACCTGCAGAGCTTGTCCCTGAGTGAGTTTGTAGGTTTAAATGCCACTCTAATTCCTATTTTATTCAGAATCCTACGTAGTGTCTCAGATGTCCCCTCTTTATATGGTATAACTGTGGATGACTTATATTCTTTCTTATTTATGTTATTATTACTAGTTTCACAATTATTTTTATTCTGTTTTTGGCCTTTAGTGATCTTCCTAATGAATTTTATAGGATAGTTATTCAACACCAACGCTTCTTCTATCTGTTTTAATTCATCATTTAGATCGTTTTTTGTGCTACTTAGTGCCACTGCTCGGTTTGCTAAACATTTAACTAAGCCTGCCTTAACAGTTAAAGGATGAGACGAATTAAAGTCTAAATATCTATTAGAATGCGTTGGTTTTCTATAAATTCTATAATTAATTGCCTAAAACTAATAATGCTAGTAGAATATATGGTACTATAAAAATACATAAGCCAGGTAACCCCATAAGACCAATAGTAGATTTTAGAAATACCCCCACGTATGAATTATCAAAACACTTAGCTCTAATACTATGCCCCATTAGAAATCGTTCAAACTCTAGATTAACTAATTCATATGAGATGAAAAATAAACTAAATGACATTCAACTAGCGAATGATGAAACAATGGTTAGTTTTGATATAACTGGTCTTTATACTAATATACCAGTTAATATGGCCTTAGAAGCAGTTAAAAAAGAATTAACTGCGGATCCGGAACTCAGTCATAGGACAAAGCTGTCCATTGAAGAAATTATTTTAGGGATTCAGTTATGCCTCACATCTACTATCTTTAAGTTCCAAGGCAAAATATATAGACAAACAGAAGGTGTAGCAATGGGATCACCAATATCCCCTATCGTAGCAGACATATTTATGGACAGCTGGGAAAATAGTGCCCTCAATACATTTAACCCTACTCCGAAAATATGGTGGAGATATGTGGATGACACTTTCACAGTGTTAAAAACAGAACACATCTCTAGCTTCTTGACACACATAAACTCACAAGTTGAGGGAATAAAATTCACATTTGAATCAGAAAATGAACAAGGAGAATTAGCTATGTTAGATTGTAAGATAAAAAGAATAGAAGAAGGCAAACTACACACTAGTGTTTATAGAAAACCAACGCATTCTAATAGATATTTAGACTTTAATTCGTCTCATCCTTTAACTGTTAAGGCAGGCTTAGTTAAATGTTTAACAAACCGAGCAGTGGCACTAAGTAGCACAAAAAACGATCTAAATGATGAATTAAAACAGATAGAAGAAGCGTTGGTGTTGAATAACTATCCTATAAAATTCATTAGGAAGATCACTAAAGGCCAAAAACAAAATAAAAATAATTGTGAAACTAGTAATAATAACATAAATAAGAAAGAATATAAGTCATCCACAGTTATACCATATAAAGAGGGGACATCTGAGACACTACGTAGGATTCTGAATAAAATAGGAATTAGGGTGGCATTTAAACCTACAAACTCACTCAGGGACAAGCTCTGTAGGTTAAAGGACCCAGTTGACCCAATTAGACAAAATAATATTATTTACAAAATACCATGCAATGACTGTGAGGTCAACTACATAGGTCAAACTAGTAGGTCAGGGGTAGTCAGATTGTCAGAGCATAAAAATTTAGCTAAGGTAAGAATGGTTGACCCCGAGAAGATAAATAATTTAGAAAAAAGCTCAGCAATTGCAATGCATGCGCTAACACACAACCACACAATAGGGTGGGAGAGGGTTAAAATTCTAAAAAGTAATCTAGGTAGGTGGAGAGAGAGGTTGATTACTGAATCCTTGTTCATCGAGTCTACACCCAACACATGCAATAGGAATGACTCGTCACTCATACCTGAAATATGGAAAATACTATTACCAATCAAATCAAGTGAAAATCAAGAGAAAAACAATGGAACTATATAAATGAATTTAGGAAGTCGTGTGATTA